AGCTTAATCTTTTTTTTTAATCTAAAATAAAAATATAATATTTTTAATCAATATAATATAATATTTGTAATTTTTATTTATAATTGCTCAAAATAGGTAATTTATTTTGTAATTACTTCTATAATTTTATTAAAATTTAAAATTAATAATAAAAATTTTTAAAATTATTTATATATAATTATAATTTTTTTATAATTATTAAAAAATAAAAATAACTATTATATAATATATAATTAAAGCTAATATTAAACAAACTTTTTTAAATATTTTAATATTAATAAAAATATATTAAATATAAATTTATAAAATTTTCGTGAGTAAATTTGTCTGTTAAATCAAAAGTTAAGTAAAATTATAATTCATATTTAGTATTATAAATTATATATATTAATTTTAAATTGAATTTGAACCAGATTTAAATTTGTATAATGAGTTTGAACTTTGAATTTTTCTTTAATTCAAGCCAAATCTGATTCGAGTTTAATTTGAATTTTGAATTAGATTTAAATTTAAACAAAAATTCAATTTAATTAAATTCAAGTTATAATTAAAGAAAAAAATAATAATATTTATTAAGAGTATTAAATTATTTGTTTTTTGATATTGAATATTTATTTTAAAAATTCTGATATTAAAAATAGATTTTTAAACTAATAATATTTATTTGTTATCTGTTTTAATTATAATTTTCAATATAATCTAAATTAAATAATATTTAGTATTATATAATTTTAAAATTTTTCTTTAATTAATATATATATTTAATTAGTTATTATTAATTAAATTTTATAATTATTAAATTATTATAATTATATTTAAAATAATTAATTTTTTTTATAAATTTAATAAATTAAGTTAATATAAAATGATATTAATATTTTATTATATTTCTTTATAATTATTCTATTTTGCTTTCTTATTTATATATAAATATAATAAAAAATTTTTTATTATCATATTTTTTTTATAGTCATCAAATTTTCTTTTTCAAGAGTGATATTTATAAAAAAATTTAAATATATATATAATATTCTTCAAAATTTAATTATAATTTAACTTGTTATATAATATATATTATTTTATATTATAAATTAGTATTTTATTATTAATTTAAATAATATAATCTTTTATTAATTATAATTTTTTTTGATTTTGAATATAAACAAAAATAATAATATATTATAAAAATATAATTTAATATTGTAATCTAAAGAAATTTATAATACTAGCAAAATACAAATAATAGTTAAACTTACTTTAATAATTAATAACTTATATTATTAGTTTTTAGTCTGTTTTTATATTTTTTATTGGTAAAGTTTAATTTTTTCATTTTATTGATATTATTTAAATATTGATTTGTTTTTGATTTAATTTTATATTATTTGATATTAATAAAGTTTAGTTTTTTTATTTTATTGATATTATCTCAAATTTTGATTCTTTTACATTATTTAATATTTTTTTATTGATATTATTACAAATTTTAATTAATTTACAATTTGATCTTGTATTATTTAATATTTTTTTATTGATTTTTTTATTTTATTAATAAGTTATTCCAGTTTTTTAATAATATTTATATAATAAAAATTTTTTATATAGAGTTTATACAATTATAAAAAGAATTATAGAACAAGATTAATATATTTAAGATAATTTTATTAATAAAACTTCTTTATTATTATATTTTTTAGTATTATTTTATTAGTATTTTATACAATCAACACGAAAAGTAATGGCGAACATGTTTTTCGTCTATAACTTGATAAGAAATTGCTAAAAATTTACGAATATTTGGCATTATATTCTTTAAGATGATGGAAACAAAATTTTCTAAGGTCACAAAGCGTGTTAATATAGTAATATTTTGTGTAATTACGTGCTAAAGGTGGCGGGCTGGGTGGCTACTCTGGTTAAAGAGCTATAAAAAATTATTTAAAACTATTTTTTATAAGCAAGTATGAAAATAATTTTATAAAAATATATTTAAAGATATAGAAAATATATTTGTAATTTAATAAAAATTTTTAGTTGATATTTATTGAACAAATACCAATAAAAAAAGGCTTAATTTTGATAAATTTTATAATAAAATATAGTAAAATATAGTAAAATATAATAAAAATATTATTTTTATTATATTTTTTATGAAATTTATTAAAATTAAGCCTTTTTTTAACTGGCATTTATTCAATAAATATTTTTTTTAAAATTACAAATATATTTCTATATCTTTAAATATATTTCTATAAAATTATTTTCATACTTGCTTATAAAAAATATTTTAAATAATTTTTTATAGCTCTTTAACTAGGGTAGCTCCCGGACCCACCATCTTTGACACGTGATTTCGCAAAATATCACTATGTTAACATGCTTTGTGACCTTAGAAAATTTTGTTTCCGTTATCTTAAAAAATATAATGCCAAATATTTAGGATATTTGAGTAATTCCTTGTTAAGATATTGATATATTTCGGCAAAAAACATGACCGCCATTACTTTCCGTGTTGACTGTAGTTAAAATAATATCTTAAAATTATTTTATAAATAAAAGATTTTATTATATTATTTAAATAAAACTTATAATAATTAATAAAATTTATAATAATTAATAAAATTTATAACAATTATTAAAATTTATAATAAATACTTTTAATTAATTAAACTAATAATTTAAATTAATAATTAATAAAATTTATAACAAAAACTTTTAATTATCTCTGAATTTTAAAAAATATTATATTATTAAACAATAATCTTTTATCAAATAATATTTATCTCTCTTATTTTTAATTATATATTTAAAACTTGTATATAAATAATTTTGAAGTATATTGAATTTATCAAAATGTTATTATTAAAATTATTGAATTTTTAATTAAAAATAGAATATGTAATATTATTAATTCAAAAATTATTATTCAAGAACCAATTAAATTGTTTAATTTTTAAAATTGAGCAATTTGATAGTTTTTAAGCAAAATTTTTTTGATCTAATATTATATACTTTAATTTTAATAATTTGAAATAAGTATTTTTGTTTTTCAATATTTTATATTTTTAATAGTTTAACTAATCAAAAATGAAAGAAATCTTGATTACTTGATTATAACTTGAAACTTAACTACTTGAAAATAAAAGAGATTTCAATTACTTGAATATTTTATTAATTATATTTTTTTTAGCTTTAAAATACATTATATCAATATAAAGAATTTCAATTACTTGAATATTTTATTAATTATATTTTTTTAGCTTTAAAATACATTATATCAATATAAAGAATTATTATCTCAGAATCATTTATTATATATCTTTCTTTTATTATTCTAACTCCGCTCTTTTTTAATCTTTACTCTCTCATAATTCTTTTATACTTTTATACTTTCTTCAAACTATTATAATTTTAATAAAAATCAATATAGAACTTAAATATTTCTTTTTTTCTTTTAGTACAGTCAAATCCCTCTATAGTCATCACCCTCAGGAAAGCAAAATTTGGTGACTATAGAAGGAATGTGATTATAAAGAGGTTTTTATTACTATGTTTATATGTAAATGGGAAAATAGGGTGACTATAGAGGAGTGTGACTATAAACAGGCATAAATATAGAGGTGTTTGACTGTATTTTGAACAAGCTTGTAATAATATATATATATTAACAATATCAATAATATACAGTAATAATTAAAAACAGATTTATTAATCGATATATGTTGTGTCTCAGATGTCGATTTGCGTCAGGTGTTGCTTCACGTGATTTTATTCGGCCAACATTAACCTATTCACCGGCACTAACCCTAATCCTAACGCTAGTAATACTAATTTAGGCCGATCGTCTTTTAAGATAAAAGCGTATCTGTATCAAATTTATTAGTACGTTCTTTCTTTGCTTCATTTCTGCAAAACTTGTGGAGACATAATTTAATTGGTGTTCCTCAAATACAACTTTACTGTTATCCTTCAATTCATGTCGCAAAAACCACACAAATACTTCGGTCGCAAATCCTCTGAATGGGGTATTTTAGGATTTTAAATGAATGTGATCTGGAACCATTTGAACAAAAGCTGGACTGTTACCTTAAGGCGCTTGAGTATATTGTTGATTCTGAGAAAGGCGTCAGACAATAACAATAAGTTTGCACTATTATCATTCGTTCTTTAAACTGACAAAATGGTGGTTTTACTTGAAGTCATTAATGACAAAATTCAATATAAATAATGAATTCACTATTTTCTAATTTGTTTTCCTTGATGAAACATTTATCTTGAGCCTTTAAGAATAAATTTTCCTTTAACTTATAATCTACAATATTAATTCTACGTGTTCTGTGCAAAATTTAATAGAATAATATACTAAGTTTCTATTTTAAAGAGAATATTTTAATTTTTTTACAACCATAAAAATATGAGTTTCCTGCAGAATTTGTTTTTTCGGTTGACAGTCATAAGGAACAAATGCAAAAATTTGCATCCTTTTTCTAGAGTTTGGTAGATTTTATTTTTTTAAACTCTTAAAAGCTTCATAAGAAAATAAGGAAGCAAAATTATGAAAGTTCGATGGAAAATACATCCAGAAGGTGGATGTTGTACATTTGAAACACAAAAATTTTTTTCTATATAGAATTGATTTTTTAATAAGAAACAAAATTATGAAAGTTCGAAGGTTAGTTGAGAAAATACATCCGGAAGGCGGACGCGTTTGAAACACAAAAAAATTTGTGTAATGTAACACATTACCATAATATCAACGATCGTCCAAAGTAGAATCGTAGTTTTCGCGATTTTTTTCAAAATTTGTCGCGATTAAAAATCAATACAAATACGTAGTTATTTTTTCCTCACTTTTTACTACGCTCTAAAGCTTCAACTTACAATTTTTTATTTGACTTACACATTAACTTACTACATGTACAGTCTTTGATAATTGATAATTTTATAACGCTGTAAACACTACAAATTTCTTATTTACATTCACTAATTATTATCATAAAATGACTAATGAAGCATCGTCCTCTTCACCAAATAATCGCAAAAGAACAAAAACCAACTCAGAAGCAAGTATGTATTTATATTCATTATTGATAACTATCTTATTTCATTATTAAAATATCAATAAAAACTATCATTATTCATATATTTACAGGCAGACAATACAGACAAAAACTGAAAATCGAGAAATCCAACTTAAAAGAAACGTTAAAACAAAAAGATGAAGAAGACAAAGAAACAAAAGCCGAATTAAACAACTGCAAGCAAGTGTTAAAATTCAAAGAAATCGAAATCAACAAACTAAACGAGGCAATCGTAAATCTAAAAGAAGAAAACAAAAATCTAAAACAAACCCTTACTTTCAAGGACAAGGAAATTAAAGAAAGTCATGAAAAAGAAATTTTGTCAAAGAATGAAACCATATCTATTCTTGTTTCTAAGAATGAAGAAATAACGCGAATTCTTGCTTCTAAGCATGAAGAAATCAAACAAATTCTTTTAGCTAAGAATGAAGAAATTCTTTTATCTAAGAATAAAGGAACAAAAATAAGTCTAGAAGACTTATCACATAATACCGATACAAATACATATAGTTCATCGGTTTCTTTAGATACTATAACCCCAAATCCCACATTATCCCTAAACACTAGTCATGATGAATTAAATATATTTTATCCTTCTTATGAAGTAGGTCATAACTCGATTCAAATTTCTGATAACCCTTTTCCCTAAAACGTGCTTGATGAAAAGATTTTCTTCCCATTTCACCATCATTATTTTTATAATTTTTATCGTTATCCGTTTTGTGCCTTTCCTAACGTTAAAATTTCTGATGCCTCAAAAACATTCTTTAATTCGTGATCCAGATGCGGATCAGTGAATGAAATTTTACCAGTGTGTAGATATACCTATTAGGCTTCTTTTCCTATTACAAGCTGAAAATATTATTTTGCTTTACTTCGTACATGTACTACATAAATTCAATTCGGGATCGATATTGCTTTTATTATTAATCTAGATTCGAGTATACCGATACCGTTACTATAGTAAATCATCACTTAATTATACGTATTTTCCGTTTTTTATTTTAACTGCAAAAAATTATGTATCATAAGCTTAAATTAGAATGTTTCTATTCTGTACTTTTATTTATGTACATGTGCTTTCGTCTGTTCGTTCGTTTCATTCTCTAAACATATATGGTAATAATAAGCTCCAATTAAACCTTTCAGTTATATTTTTACTTTCTCTAAATTTCATCAAGCACATTATCAGGCGATAAACAAAACTAACGCTAAATAGAATTAGAACTACTACTTAACGTTAATCTTCGAACAGTCAAACCGAAGTGGTTGGTGCTATTAGTAAAAAATTTTGAAAAATTCGGTTTATCGAGGTTTTAATTAGTGCTTCAGTTTAACGACGTTTGACTGTATATATTAAAAATTGTATGAATCAGTAGAATTTGTTTGATCGTACACAAGGGTTCATTTAGTAAAATGAATTCACATTTGTTCAATTAATCCAAAAATATTCTTATACTAATAAACCAGTATACATTGGTGATTTTCTAGTTGACTATATAATGTGGGTTAATTTTTTCCATATTTCTATTGGGATTAATCAGCGAGAATTTAAGAGTTAAGTAAATATAATCGATTGTCTGTGCAAAGATAACTTTTAAAGAAACTTATTTAGTTTACATGAAACAAGGAATAATATACATATATACACTCGATATCCAAAAGTCGACGGACACTTGTTTTTGCTTAATTCTGTTCATTCAAATAAACTCAAGAGATTGGAAATCCATACAGTAGTTCCCGTCTTTAAAAAAGACACTTGCCAAAAAAATTGTGATTGTTACGATACTAATCTAGAAAAAAATTTATATATATTGGCCTCCGTCTTGTGTGAACATTCCTATCAGGCAATGTATACCAGTGATGGTAAATGGACTTTAAATGACTCCGATGACAAATAACCAATAACTGGTCATTTTAAAAAGTCGAATGACCTTAATGATCATTTCAAAAAGTCAAGTGATCTCACAATCGTCCTTTATCCAAACTTTTAAAAATTAAAAATGACTCATTGAAACTCTATGGTTGAAAAATAAATCACATGACAAATGACCTAATGGCCCAGATTATTTTGATATCATTTGAGATCGTTTACCATTACTGATGTACATGTATACAGTCAGCACGAAAAGTACATGTAGTGGACCGATTGACCTTGTACAACATGTGTAACATTTTTCACATGTTGCACACCATTCTTTATTTGTTTTGTAACTGAAATGTAAACAAAAAACAATTGTCTGCAATCCTCCCCGTAAAATTCAATTAATTTTATTGAATTTTATTGATAGTATTTATATCTTAATTAGATTATAAAAATGAAAGATATATATAATTTCAATGTGATGGTAATTAAGAAAGCAATTTTTTGTATCTTTGAAATAAATATCTTATCTCTTATTAACCAAAAAAATTCTAAGAAAATTTCTGAATGGAAAGTATTATTAGAAGTGACTAATATTATAATAAGTTATTTCAACTTGGAAATGATGACACCAGTAATATTAATTATATTGCTTATATTATCTTTCTAATACTTTATGAAAAATTGCTATCTATTAATTTATATATATATTACAAGTATATATAATATAGTTCTAAATTCAAATCATCTATCAATTGAGATAAGCAAAACTTTATTACAATATCACATGGAGAATACAAAGTAAACTTTTACTTTATATTTATATAATCTTTTATGAGTAATATTAATTTTCTTTTAGAAAATATATCAAAAAAATGCAAATTTAATATATAAAGACTTGATGAGTATCATTAAAAATGAGAGACTTAATGAAAGAAGAAATAGATTAGAACTCAAAGATGATAAAGATAATAATAATATAAGTGACAATGCTATCCAACAAAAAGTATATAATTTTCATATAGTAAATAACTTATTTACAGAGATTATAGTTAGTAGTGAAGATGAAAATATTATTCAATTAGTTGAAGATTGTTAGAATTGTATTTAATTAATAATAAAGTAATATATTTATTAAATATATTTTTGTTTTAATAATAAAAAATATTCTGAATTTAATAATAAAATCATTAAATAATAATATTTATACATATATTAATATTTAATGAAATAAGTTAATTTAATGATATATATCATTAAATAATAATATTTAACAATCTATATCATTAAATAATAATATTTATCTATATCATTAAATAATATATATTGATAACTTTGATATATATTGATATATATTAAATATCTGTTTTGATATGCAATAATTTTGATATATATTAATATATAACTAACAATAAATATTGATACAAATCACTTCAAAAAATTTTTTGATGTTATTATAAGTTTAATTATATTCTAGCAAAAGGCTGCACTGTATAAATTTGTATAACAATATCATTACCATTACTATCTGTCATAACTGTATCTTGATTTTCTAATATTAATAATGTCACTGATGTTTAAACATCAAATGGTGTCTTTAAAAAAAGGGTTGCTCCAAACTTGCAAAATCTCATCTATCAATCACTATTAATTTAGCTCCAATTATATTTATCAAATCTTTCATTAAGAAGATTTATAATGGCTAGGTTGACACTTAAAATTAACTCTGATCCAAATCAGTACACTCAGCAAAGATGATATTTTCGTGATCTTTAACAAAATCTGAATTCACATGTTTTTACGAAGTAAAATTTCCAAACCAAGGGTGAGTGTTACACTTACTGGTAACACTAAATCTTTTTTAAGAAATGCATTTTTTTTCTTTTTCCTTTTTTGTTTCTTTATTTGCATCAATCAATTTTAATTACACTGCAAATTACACCAAATTCCATCATAAATTCCACTGTAAATCCCACCATAAATTCCACTGTAAATTATGCCGTAAATTCCACTGTAATTTACACCATAATTTACATCATAAATTATACATGTATTATAAAATGAAATTGAAAATGTATATACAGTCAACTCTCGATATAGTGAATTTCTGAAAATTTTTCACTAATAGCTCGAACACTTTCACTATAATGGGGTTTGACTGTAATGAGAGTGAGAAAAAGTAATGAAGAATAGGCAGAAGAACAAGGCAAAAAAAAGCAATAAACTTATAAATAAAGTATAACTACTTACTTGTGTACAATAAGTCCTTATGGTGCCTTCTCCCTCTCCGTCCCAATAATCCATTGTTGTAAAAAGGATTTGCCACTTTGATCCAGAAAAGTGAGATAATTGTTTTGAAAACCGTAACGACTACGATTTAAAAGGTTTACGATTTTGATCCAGAAAAAGTGAATGCATTATTAACGTTGTGAACACGTAAACGAAACCAAACCGGCGATTGAATCCAACAATATCGGCACAAGACTTTAGAAAAATTAACAAATAAAATAATCTTTATCTAATTCGTTAGAAGCTAACTCCTATAATCGGCCCCTAACCTGTAACAGTACACCTGGTTATCCGCCAATTTTGCATTGATTAATTTTATGTCCAATGGTCCTAATGGACATATAAAAAAGACCAATCAGACAGAATATGGAGCAGCACCAGGGAACTTGAAAAAGCTCAATATAATTTGAATTTTGTGTTTGGTGCCATCTACTTACGTCAAACTAAAAATCTAATTTTAGAAAATACCAAATTGATATTTTATTAAATCTCTAAAGTTTATTTAAAACTTCACGGATTCAAAATTGATAAATTTCAAAATGTTGAATTTCTTGGTTTCTACTTGTACTGCCCATATGTATTGAAAGTGTGTTTCCTTGAAATGCCCATATGTATTGAAAGTGTGTTTCCTTGAAATTTCGAATAAACTTGTCATATTTGTGCAGACGATCGATTATACAAAAATTTTAAACCTTGCAGTTGTTTTCTAAAATTAAATTGTCCGTCGCGATCATTCGTTAGTTATTTACGTTAACTCTTACTAAATTCTCGCTGATCGATATCCTAATGTTAAGTGTCGATCGTAAAAAGAGTTTTGATTCATTATTAGCGTTAGCGAAATTTTTATCCACGATAATGTTTGATGAATTTACTGATTTGGTAATTTAGAGGCATAAGAAAATTAAAAATGCGTAGTTCTACGGACCTAGGTAAAAACGCAAATATCTCGATTGATATCGAATAATTGAATCGAATACGTACATGTAGAAATGTCAAAATGCAAATACATGTATCCCAACATCCAGTTATCGAAATAGAATAATTTCAGTACCATTCGATTCCGTTCAACAATGGAAATCAAATAATATAAAAATCATTCGATTTCAATCACTAAATGCCGAGATAATTGCATTAATTTGAGCAAAATCGTGATTTAAAGTTCCGCGCAAATAAATATCACTTTTGTACGGGAACTTTCGGACGTGATATTTCGACATCCAACGATTTAAATTGAATAAATCTAAATTCATTCGATTCAATAACTAGATGTTGAATAAATTCACTTTACTGGTTCGGTACCATTAATTGTAATTATTCTTAAAAAAAAATAGAAAACAGATAATCCGAAAATTTTATATCGAAGGTATTTATTATGATTATACAATAAAATTAAAGTTAGACGGTCTATCTATTATTATTGTTGATAAATAAATATTTTTTTAGAGATTGAAGCAAACGAACAGATAAAAGAATATGAACATAAATAAAAAACAAGTACTTAATTAACAGAAACATTATAATTTAAGCTTAATTTTTTATAAAAAACGGAACAATATACAATCGACCTCCCTTACAGTCACACTTGGAGGGGGGGAATAGTGAGTTTTGAAAGTGTACTTATAAAGAAGTTGTGACTATATGGCGGTATTTTGTTACTAATTTAACAAATATGATGTGCTTATAGAGAGGTTTTTTATAAGATGTGACTATACGCGATGTGACTATAGAGGAGGTTGACTGTAATTGATGAATGTTTTTGAGGCAGCAGAAATTTTGAAAGTTTGAAAAAGATACGAGAATGTGGAACAAATAATAAAAATATTGAAAAGGAAGCAAATTTTGAAATTGCTTTTCCCTTGCACGTTTTATGGGTTTTCGTGAAAAAAAAAGGAGTGATCAGAAATCTGAATCGGATCATTATTTACACTGTAAGAAGGTAGAAGATCTTTAATATTAATATCATTATAATTACATGTAGTAAATTCCTCATTGCTAGTATGAGGGTTACTATTTTGTGAATTTGAAATATTTGGGGAATTGTTATTATTTTGCGAGTTTGAAATATTTGTAGAATTATTACTTTGTGAATTTGAAATATTTGGAGAATTATTATTTTTCGAGTTTGTGATATTCGAGGAATTATCATCTTGCAAGTTTGAAATATTTGTAGAATTATTATTTTGTGAATTTGAAATATTTGGGGAATTATTGCTTTGTGAATTTGAAATATTTGGGATTTGAAATGAAATATTTTGGGAATTAATATTTTGTGAATTTGAAATATTTGGGGAATTAATATTTTGTAAATTTGAAATATTTGGGATTTGAAATGAAATATTTGGGGAATTATTAGTTTGCGAATTTGAAATATTTGGGGACAATGTGGGATTTGAAATATTTGGGATTTGAAATGAAACATTTGGAGAATTATTAGTTTGTGAATTTGAAATATTTGGGGACAATGTGGGATTATGGGCCATAGTTCCTAAAGAAACTGATGAACCGTATGTATTTGTGTTTTGTGATAGTATTTGTAAAAGACTTCGTATGATTTCATCCTTTGATGAAACTAATTTTTCATTAGTTTCTTTTAGATTTTTTCTTTTTTCTTTTAGTTTGTTGATTTTTTTGTCTTTAGATGTCAGCATTTCCATGCAGCTTTTTAATTTAGCTTTTGTTTCTTTGTCTTCTTCATCTTTTTGTTTTATTATATCTTTTAGGTTAGTATTTTCAATTTGGAGTTCTTCATGAATTTTTGCCTTTTTTTGTCTGTATTCTTTACCTGTATATATGAATAATAGACTTTATCAGAAATTATAATAAAAAAATAAGATATTTATTAATAATAAATATAAATATATACTTGTTTCTTTGCTGCTTCTTTTGCGAATATTTGATGATGATAATGCTTCATTAGATGCCATTTTATTATTAAACTATTCAAGAAAAATTAACGGAATAAGAATTTGAAGTGCTTGCAGCGCTATAGAATTGTCAATTATCAAAGAGCAAGTATAAGTCGAAGCTTTAGAGTGTAATAAAAAATAAGGAAACAATCACTAAGTATTTGTATTGCGATATATTCGCGAATTCACGATATATTTTGAAAAAATTCGCGAATTTTTGAAAAAAATCGCAAATTCACGATAAATTTTGAAAAAAATCGCGAATTCACAATAAAAATCACAAATACGCGATAAATTTCGATATTATCATTATCGTTATCGATATCGTTATGGTAACGTAACCCTTCGATTTGTACAATTACGTAATTATTGTACACAAAATTTTTGTGTTTCAAATGCACATTGGCTGGATGTATTTCTTAATTATCCTTCGAAGTTTCATAATTTTAAAAAGGAAGTTAAAAAATAAAATCTATATAGAAAAAATTTTTTGTGTTTCAAATGCACCCACCTTCTGGGCGTATTTTCTTAATTATCCTTCGAACTATCATTAGTTTACATTCGTATTTTCTATGGATCTTTACAAATAAGATTTTAATCCACCAGATTTTATAGATAATTTTCACACTGTACTTATATATCGCCAATAACAAAATTATTAATAAGAAGTTTTCGTTATTTGAAATATTGTATAAATTAGTTCTGAAAATTCCAAGCATCACAAATTCTGCAGAAAAATTTAAATACTTTCTTTAAATATAAACTTATTATCAAATTTGGCACAGAAAAGTAGAATTAATATTGCTAGATTATAAATCAAGGAAAAATTTCTTTTTGGAAAAACAAAACGCTCAAGTTTTATAGGAAAACAAATGAATTCATTATTTATATTGAATTTTGTTATTTACTTTGATTAAAACCACCATCTTGTTAGAGTTCAGAGAACTGATAATAATGCAATGAATATACATATCGTTATTGTTATTTGCCAGATGATTATTATCATTGTCAAATTTACTAAAAAGGCAAATTTTCATTCATCACTATTCTCGATATTAATCTTCCATCAAAGGAAATTATTCTTAGCAACAAAATATCGATACCAGATTAAGAATGTTTGATTACGTACATGGACTGTTATCAAATTTACCAAAAAGGCAAATTTTTTATTCATCCTATGCGTATCGGTATTGACTTCATGATCAATCTCTGTATTACATGTACTAAATCGAAATCTGTTTGGCACCACCAAAGAATAGATTAAAGAAATTAATAAAATAATATTAAAATTAATTTTATCTTCGTTTTGAACATACACATGCATGTGAAGTTTAAGCATGTGATATTAAAGAAGTCAAACTCTGTTTTTGAAATACTAAATTGGATTAATAACAAAAAGCATATTACTTATACTTTGTTTATAAACTTTCACAGGTAGAAAAAAGGTTTATCTACATGTACTTATGTTTAACATACTCGAATTCTGTTAAATCATGAGATAAACTTCCATGTTTTGCTATAGTTTTTAGTGGTTATTAGAGGTTCCCCCGATTTTGACACAACTATAACAAACTCGTGAATTATTGAAAAATGTGTAAGTTTATCCAAAGGTTTAACAAGTCAAATATGGGTAAAACTATTATCCGTCGGACGAAACCTGTGACGAAACCTTCTGACCAATCAAAATAATAGCTAAATCACATGTACAAATCCTTATTCCGAATTTTAAAAGAATGTTACATCATTAGAAACTAAAGGCCATAGACGATCAAAATTACGTATGCTGAATTTTGGCCAGAATTATGAAAACTTGAGAAAAGTGTACAATTTTAAATATATACCTCTGTAAAAATTATGCAAAAAATAAACCGATAAATTGATAAAGCTTGACTTGACCTATTGGTTTTATGGTTTAGTTTGCAAATTGTCATTCGTCAGACGATTCGTCATTCGCCACTTACATTTTCAAAGTGGCCATGGCGAAAGGTTTCGTGAAAGTCAATACATGTACTAGTACATGTACATGTATTATTAATATTTAAATATTCATTTTGCGCATTCGTTCATTTCTAAAAATGGTCACCATCGTCAGGCATCAACTAGTATTTATCGGTCAGAAGGTTTCGTCATTCGTCACAGACATTTCAAAATGGTCGTGACGAAAGGTTTCGTCATCGTCAAGTATCATTAGTTTAATCACGTAAGGATTTCAACGCAACTTCTTTGTATTCTTTAGTTCATTTAAATTTGATTTCTCGTCTGTTCAAACCATGCAATTATTCTTTATAAATTGCTCCAATACTTCCTTATGGAAGACATTCAACCTTGGTGATTCCTTCAAACGGAACCCCTTCAAAAGATTTACTGCTGATTTTCGCACATTCTTTTATTTGACAGTTGATATCTTTACTTTCGCTAGATCATTCATCTTTGTATTCATTACAAATCGATGAACACGTAATAACGGTAATCATCTTGATTCGGTGCATTCACAACAAATATAAATATTCAAAATTTTAGAAACCATCTCTGAGATGAAATTGTTTGTGTTAATGTTAAAAGAAAATAGATGCCATGATTTGATGTATGCGGCATACATCAAATCATATCATCTAACTAAATTTTCTTTCAACTAGTGATGATTATTTTGTTGACTGATAGTAATTGAATGAACCAATCATATCTGCGAAATACGATCAACATTCACGTGATAAATAGTCGGGCGGGTCGAGGCGGGCAGATAATTTTACCGAAGGGCGTGGCATCACTACGTATCAATATCAGGAAAATTAAACCTTACATGTATCGATATTCTGAAGCTTGGTTGATTCGACACACTTTTTTATGATCTTTGAAAAAACAAAAATAGTATACAGTATGATATTTTAAAAAGTGGAGACGCCGTCGTCGATAACGAAAAAAACTTACGTTGTATTTGGATGTTTAATTTTTTAGACTAAATTTGAACTTTTCGCTGTATATTTATTTCTTTTGATGTCTTTTACATTGTTTTTAATATCCTCGTGAGACACATGCTGACACTGTAAAATAAAACACAAATAAATAAAAAAAATATAAACATAAATTATAATCAACTAATAAGCATTACTACAGTCGTGGCATAGTTAATAAATTTTTACCTTTATTTACAGATCATATTCAGTAGTCACATATTCAAAGTTGTATGTAAACAAGTATATATTAATTTTCCGAAATATTTTTGAAATTATAGTATTAAATTGTGAGTTTACCTTCATTAACCTCGTTTGGAACATACAAACTGACACTTGCACGACCTAATATTCGTTATAATTTCGAAACACGATGCTTATTTTTTATAGTGAATGCTACTTTTGTAAGCAATGGAATTCCTGTAAAAAATATTCCAATTATCACTATCAACTTTATAAAGTTGAATGGTCTAGTCCAAAATAAAGATATCCACAATCTAATAAAAATTAAAGAATATTTCGGGTGTATATTCCAAAAATGAGGTCTTGGATCACTATCCTAACCAGTTAACCATATAATCTTTTGTGGTTAACCAGTCAGTTAACAGATATTTCTATATATAGTAATTTTTTAATTGTTTGACAAAATAGTATATTGTTACAAGTTTGTTCACTATCATTAAATTAGCTTACAAACAAAAATCTGGGTTGGGAGAGAGTATAAACTGATAAAGAAATTATTAAAAAAGAAGAGGAATAGGTCTATGCCAATTTTTATAGAAATTGTGTTCACTTGAAAAGAAATAATAATATGAAAGAGTAAAGATCAAAGAGAGAGAGAATAAAGGAATAATAAAGAAAAATTGAAAGGTGATTCTATACTTACATAAAGTTTTCTAGAACTCTAGAACTAAGGTAATATAATTAGTAATAACAATAACAAAGACTCTTTCACTTTGTTCTTCTCACGAATAAGAAATATTTATTAACAATTAAAAATTCAAAATAACAAAAAGTAAAAATACTTATAAATCCAATTTCAATACAGTGATTTGTTCAGCACAATATGATATAAAGCTCAATAATCCAATAATAGTAATTTGTTTGGCACAATATGATATAAAGTTCAAAATTAATAACAATGATTTGCTCAACACAATACAATATAAAGCCATCAGCAATTTGATAGGTTCAATATGATATAAGACTACTTATACAAGCTTTAAAGTATATAAAGGAAATATGAGAGAAAGAAAGTATTTGGAGGAAAATTTTTGTTAAGAAAGATTTTTATTTTCAATTATCACATATTAAGTTAAGGTTCAGACAGCACCTCTATTTATATATTTTTCAAAATTACAAAAAGTGAAATAAATAATTATAAAAATATATAAAAGAAAATAACTAATTATAAAAATGAAAAGTG